AATTTCAACCAATTCTAATGTCGTTTGACAGTTTTATTCAACTTTGGAAATTTCCCGTCCATAAGGGGCTGTACAAAGTTTTTGGTCTTCCCCCTGCAGCTCACAGAGAAAAAAAATTGAGCCAACCGACGTTGATTTGTCATGTAACTTTTCCATATCTGACCACCTGTCAAGGAATAGTCCGAAAAAAAAATGAAAATTTTTTCGCCAGAAATTTCGCTGGCTGAAACCCTTGCGATTTTTCGAAATTTTCCGTTTTATTTTTTTTCTCGAACACAAAGCTTCCTATCGGAAAAAGTTATTCTTTATAAAATTTCGGGCTCACTGAGGAATATCCAACGGTATTTTTACTAACTTTCCAGCTTTCATAGTTTTCGGGAAAATCGCGAAAATATGGTTCCCAGAAAACTGCAAGTATTTCGGTAACCAAAAGAGGTGGGCCGAATCTAATCCATCCAGTCGATCGGCTGTCTGAAGCTCCATAGAAAAGTTGCCATTCACTTTTTCGGTACGATCGATAATAAGCGAGCAATTGATGATTTTCTAAAATAATGCAAAATTTTGGGGGAAAATTTCCCAAATTTTCCCCAGTTTTGTGGTGTCAAACTTCGGTCAAATTTTGACATTGGAGGATTTTAAAGATCCAAAGCAATCCATTACACTTGATTTTTTTTTAATCCTACTCAAGTATAAGACCGATGACGTCATTACGTCGCTTCAAGAGTGAAGTCCCACAGTTTTGGGAAAATTCAAACTTTTAGAGTGTCAATCTAATCTATCGATAATGCACCAATGCACATACCAATACTTTTTTTCAAGAAATAAAAATACCTACACGATGAGACGATCTAAATCATCATAAATCCGTTCGTTTGCTTACTCAAAAGCAACAAAAACTGCCGATTTTGCGTTTTTTGTTAACTTGCTGTGGTTAATTTAGTTTTGCTTCTACAAAATCGTACCCAACTTTTCTTGACGAAGCTTAAAAATTGCCAACACTTTGTTCATTCTTATTTGTTACGTAAAAAAGGCTCTTGCCAGATTCTAAGTAGGTTTTTTTGGGACGTCGGAGAGACTTCTCTAAGGGTCTATTTTACCCGTCAAGTACGGTTGCTCTATCTGGTGGTGTTGGTTCTACCCCTAATTAATAAAGTAATCGTCAAAATCGGATTAGTTCCCGAGAAAAGAAACGCTTTCGTGTCCAGCTCATCTTAAAGACTCACATTAACTGTTGCTCAAATATCAGTTAAAATACGCTACTTCTTAATAATGAAACGCTTAACATTTGCATTAAAACTTGGCACTTTCTTTGATTATTTAAACAATGGCAAACTATTGTGCCAGTATTCTGACATCGTTCCGAACATCTTCCAATAATCTTATACCTTCAACCATTTAGCTCCCGAAACAAGCCTTATATTAATATTAATTATACAGGGTGTTTCAAAGTTGGCGTCATTCCTTTTAAGGGGTGATGGAGGCTTATTTGGGGAATACGAGAAAAATATTGAAAATTTTTTTCGAAAATTTCTAGAAGATACTGACAGTTGAAGATCAAATTTCAACTTTGTTATTAAGCATAGTTTTGAAATGGTTCCATGTTTAATTGGTAGCATATTGGAATACTTAAGCATTCAAAA